GAACCGGGTGCCGAAGGCGGAGCGCCTGGAGTCGCTGCGGGCGCACCTGGAGCACGGCCTGCAGGCGGCGCGCACGGAGGAGCGCCGAGGAGGAGGAGGTACCCACATATACACCTCTGCCCTGCCGCGCTTTCCCCTTTTTGGGGCCTCCCTGGCGGCGCTCGTCGCCACCGCTGGGTGCGCCTCGAAGGCCTGGTCGGAACGCCCCCCCTGGAGAGGCCCAGGGAGCAGCGGTGTCGTTACCTTTTGGTTTCCCCAGGAGTGGCGGAGCATACCGGTGGTGCCGTTGCTGCAGGAGCTGGAGCGGCAAGTGGAGGAAGCGAACCCAGAGGAGAGCGAGGAGCGCGTCTCCTTCCTCTGCCACCGCAGGCTGCGCAAGGTGGCCGTCGCGCTGGGACGCGGCTGGGAGCGGGAGCTGCTGGGCATGGGTTCGGGTGAGCAAGTCCGGGAGGAGGAAGTCGACTGCGCGGCCATCCTGGAGCGCCTGGAGACGCTGGGGCCCACCAAGCTGAGGCACTACACCCACATCAAGCTCGGCGACTTCAACAGGGAGCAGCTCCTGGAGCAGGACTGGGGCGGCAATCGGGGCGTCACGCTCGAGGAGTACGGGCAGGCTGCACGTGCGCAGAGCTCCACGGTCTGGCACCAGGAGGTCATGGCCAGCACCATCCAGGCGCAGGGGTGGACTTAGGCGGTGTTTGGGCGATTTCGTGGGCCGCTTTCGTTTCGATTTCGTTTTGCGTTGAAGGCGGATTGAAGGCAAAACGAGGGACAACGAAGACAAAACGAAAACGAAAAGCACCGTTGAGGTTCAGCCCTGTCCAGGCGTTCCAGGACGCTGGTACCCAGAAGATCCTGGACATCGGGTCCAGCTTCAACCCCTTGCAGGGCAAGTTTCCCGAGGTCACGGCGGCAGACCCGGTCATGGAAGGTAGCACCTTCGGCTCCGCCAGGTGGAGTTGAAGGTGCTCCCTTCCAGGGCCGTTTCTGGGCCGTCTTGAGGGCCTCCAGAGGGAGTCTCAAGAAGACCCCAGTGATGATCCAAAACGGACCTCGAGGAGGAGGAGGAGGAGGAGGTGGAGGAGGAGGAGGTGGAGGAGGAGGAGGAGGCGGAGGAGGAGGAGGCGGAGGAGGAGGAGGAGGCGGAGGAGGTGGAGGAGGAGGAGGAGGAGGAGGAGGAGGAGGAGGCTAGGGCCACATGTCTGGACAGTGACCGTCGGCCCTGGGCCCCGCATGCGGAGAGCAAATCTGGGCCTGCGGCCTTGGCCCCCCCCCCCCCCGCGCGCCCCGCCCGGCCGGTCCAGCTCCGCCTGTGGCTGCTGCCACCGCAGGTCTGGAGGGTTTCTCCGAAGGGCTTAGGCG